TGTGTGTGCATGCACAAGAGTGCACACRTTTGCACAAGAGTTCATGCACATGTGCATGCAGGAGGGTTCATGCACAAGCCCATGCGTGGTCCGAAGCCTCCATGCATCCGTCTCTTCTTTCATTTCTGACCCCCTTGGGCTGCTCCGACGCTGCTGCACGGAGCAAACCCTCCAAACCAGCAAATCCCCTTCATAAAGTCCCATCTCGGCCACCCCCGAGACCCCAGAGCACCCGCCTGGCAAAGGAGCTGGCCACAGAATTCCTCTTGACGATAAAATTAYCACGAGCAGAGAAAGGATCCCGAGTCCCCTCTCGTTAGCAGGAGCGTGGATCTGGTGGATCCGATCCGTGGGTGCTGCTGCACCCTGGGGTGCCACGGGCACCGCACGAGGCTGGGGACTCGGCAGAACGGACAGAAAACGGGATTATGGAGGGGGAAGAATAAATAGATAAATAAATAAATGAAACCGCCTGAGAGGTGAATGAATAAATAAATAAATAAATAAATAGATAGATAGATAAATAAATAAATAAATGAAACCGCCTGAGAGGTGAATGAATGAATAAATAAATAAATAAATAGATAGATAGATAGATAAATAAATAAATAAATAAATAAAACCGCCTGAGACCGAGAGGGAAATAAATAGATAAATAAATAAATGAAACCGCCTGAGACTGAGGGGCAAATAAATAAATAAATAAATAAAATCGCCTGAGACCAAGAGGGAAATAAATAAATAAATAAATAAATAAATGAATGAAGCAAGCCGCCTGGGACCAGGATGTGCTGGGGGGGCCCAGGCGTCCGGGCTCCGCGGTGGGGGGTGTTGGCGCTAGGACCCAGGGCGGCACCAATGAGCAGGGGGCGTGTCCTGGGCCATTGGGGGCGTGTCCTGCCCCCTGGGGGCGTGTCCTCCGCCCCCGGGGGCGTGTCCCGCGCCGCTCCGAGCCGGGGGGTCGGCGGTTCGAGTCCCGGCGCCGGCTGTCGCTGCGGGCGGCCATGTCGCGGCGGGTCGTGCTGTTCGACCTGGGCGGCGTGCTCTTCGGGCCCAGCCTGCAGCACTTCCTGCGCTCCTGCGAGCGGGAGGCCGCGCTGCCCAGGTACGGCCCGGCCCGGCCCGGCCCCGCTCCACTGACACCGCTCCTGCCCGCCCGCCCGCGCCGCCGCTGCGCGCGGCGCCGCCGGAGACCCGCGGAGACTCGCGGCGAGGCGGCGGCGGCAACACTGTGTGTGCGGCGCCCGCCCGCGCCCCGTCCTTGCGCTGGGTCGGGGGGCAGAGCCCGCGACGGGACCCGGGAGTCCGGGSGGGGGGGGGGGGCGTTTTGGATGGTCCCAGGCTCGGAGGTGGGTGATAAAAACGCAAAAACGCAATAATTCCCCACGAATACACCCGTCTGCTGCGCCCTCGGGGCGCGGGGGCACGGGCGCCTTTGCAGAGCGGTTACAGCTACTCAAAAATGCATTGGGATGGGGGGGGGGCATAAATTCTTCACTTTTGGGACTGTAAAATGCCTTTTTTTTTCTGCCTCAAAATGCCCTTGGTTTTTGCAAGCGAGCGGCCTCGTCCCTGAGCCCGCGCTTGTGCTTTACGGCCCCGGCGGGCTGAGTTATTGCCTGGGAAGCCGCGCCAAGCCCGATTCCGCCCGTATATTTCCCCGCTCAGCGACTCGTGCGTTTGAGCCGAGCGAAGGAGCTGCCAGGGGGACAAATGGGCATCCAGCTCCGGCCGGCACCGCGCTAAATCTCCGCGTAAATAGCAGCGTTTGAAGGGCTGAAGCGTCCTCAGCGTTTCCCTGTTTTCCCCATCCCTTCCCCTTTGCAGGAACCTCTTGCAGGAGGTGATGTTCGAGGGCGGCGATGACAGCCCCTACGCCAGGGCGATGCGGGGGCACAGCAGCTTGTCCCAGGTGAGCCCGTCCCGTCCATGGGCTCCATGGGCCCCCGTCCCGTCCATGGGCCTGGGGATGCCGTCCCGTCCACGGGCTCCGTGCTGCTCCTCACGGCGTTTCGGGGGCTCCGCTCGTGTCCCCAGCTGCTCGCGGAGCTGGAGCGGGGCTGCCGGGCGCGCGCGGGCGCCGCGCTGCCCGACGCCTTCTCCGTCGCCCGCGCCTTCGAGGGCATGGCGGCCGAGGGGAGCGTGAACCTGCCGCTGCTCCGCGCCGCCGTGGAGCTCCGCGCCAACGGTGGGTCCTTCCTCCGCCCGCGGCCTTCCCAGCGTTGCCCACAATCCCTGTGCTCCCTCATTGCCACGTCCTGAGATGCTCCGTGGTTCGGGATGGGGGGCACCTGCGCTCTTCCCAATCCCGGGACGGGGACAGTGCTTGGAGGGTCCTGGTGCCACTGATACCTCTGGGCATCTTCAAAGCTCCCCGGCCAGCTTGGCAGCCTCTGGGTGGTTGCATATTCTGAGCGCTGGTGCCCAATAAATCAGTCGTGTTGTCACCACAAGGATAACGCAGCTGCAGAGGGAGAGCTCTTGGATGCATCCGAGCTTCCCGGGCGGAATGCAGGGCTTGCATCCTGCTTTCCCAGCAGGGCAAGTCTGCAATGAGCGGGGCTGCAGGGGCGAAACGCGGTCCCTCCTTGGCAGGGCATGCACACCGTGRGGTTTGGGGGGAGCTTTTGGCCACGCCGTGCGCGCTTGAGCCTGCTGCCATGCGTCCCCTGTCCCGGCCCGCTCGCTCCGGAGCCAAAGCGGCAAAATCCTCRGGATTCCTCCCCAACGCCCCCGCTCGCAACAGCTCTGCCTCCCGCCAGGCTTCAAGACCGGCGTCCTCACCAACAACTGGGTGGACGACGGCGCCGGGCGGCTCTTCACGGCCGCGCTGCTGGGCGCGCTGCGGAGGCACTTCGACGTGGTCATCGAGTCGTGCCGCGCGGGGCTGCGCAAGCCCGAGCCGGCGCTCTACAGCCACGCGCTGCAGGCGCTGCGGGCGCAGCCGCACGAGGTGCCGGCCCCGTCACCCCTGCTCCCGCCGTGCCTTCACACCCGCTCCTGAAACCTGCTCCAACRGCTCCTGCGCCTGCCCCTTCCAGGTGATCTTCCTGGATGACGTTGGAGAGAACCTGAAGCCGGCGCGGGCCATGGGCATGGCCACGGTCCTGGTGCGGGACACGGAGGCGGCGCTCAGGGAGCTGCAGGAGCTCTCGGGCGTGCAGGCAGGTGCCGGGGGCGCTTCCCGCGGGCGCTCCGGGCGCGCACCGGGATCGCGCCGCGACCTTCGCTCGCTGTGCCCGCGGGCATCGCCGGCGGYGCGAGGCCGCTCGCTGCCGCGTCAGCAAAAGCGGATTTAGCCCCGGGAGCTTTAATGCTGACGGCTGCTGAGGGCTCCTTCCTCCTGGCCTGTGTCTCTGCCTGACGTTTCAYGGCTTTTTGGCTCTTTCCTTCCCGTTTTCCGGCTGTCCTGCGGGATGCCCGGGATGGTGGGTGGGGACCAGGAGTCGGAACACGGGGGTTGCCGCGCGTGCAGTGCCCGCAGCCCCGTGCTGAGCGCGAGGGGTGGCCGGGAGCTGCCGGGTCACATCCATCGTCRCGGATGCTCCGGGTGCTCATCCTGGAATCCCCTCGTTTCCTTTGCCCCGTAGCTGCTGGGCCAGAAGGAGCCGCTGCCGACGGCCTGCGATCCCSACAGCGTGAGCCACGGATACGTGGCCATCCGGGTAGGATGCGGGGGGACGAGCAGCGCGGGGCGGAGGAGCGGGATGCACAGGGTGCTCCGGGATGCTCTCGGGAAAGCAGTCGGGTGCCGCGGGCGCCGCTCACGGCTCTGGGCGCCCTCCGCAGCCCGGCGTGCAGCTGCACTTCGTGGAGATGGGGCACGGCCCCGTGGTGTGCCTCTGCCACGGCTTCCCCGAGTCCTGGCTCTCCTGGAGGTACCAGGTGAGGAGGCGGAGCGGGTTGGGGGCCGGGGGTCCCCTCGGAGCCCTCGTGGAGCCCCCTCGTGCCGTGCCCAGCTGCCCGCGCTGGCCGACGCCGGGTTCCGGGTCATCGCGCTGGAGATGAAGGGCTACGGAGACTCCACGGCGCCGCCGGGTGAGCGTCCGCCTCGGGGACGTCCCCGCGGGGAGCTCGGGGAGGTTTTCCCCGTGTCCCTGGGTGATGCTGCAGGATGCGGATGTCACTGCGGTCCGGCTGAACAAGGCGGCCAGCCTGAGCCTGGAGAACTGGGATGGGGCTGGCAGGAGCTTTCCCAGAGGGATCCCCCCATCTTCCTTTAAATCCAATTCATGCCCTGCAATGTGCCTCCCATCAGGAGGTAACTGGAGGGGGGTCCTCGTTAGCGGGTCCCTCTCTCATTAGCTCCAAGGGCAGGTGCCCAGCTCTTCCAGGCACTTCCACCAAYGCCAGCGGCAGCATCCTGGCCTTTTCCAAAGGCTGGATGTTCCCTCGGGTGTAACTGGGGCAATCCGGCAGCTTTAGCCTCCTCAGGGACGTGGGAGGGTCAGAAACGATGTGGATTTGACCTTTCTTGCAGACATAGAGGAGTATTCCCAGGAGGCGATCTGCAAGGTGAGAGGCCCTGGGCGAGGAGAGGTCTCCGGGCTGCCCTGATCCCTGGGCAAAGCGCCTGGATCTGCCCCCCCAGCGCCCATGGGCGCAAATCAGGATCCTGCGAGCCCCATGGGCGCAGGGGAGGCTCCTGGGGTGAGCAGGGACCTGACTCTTCCTCTCTCCTCCCGCTTTACGCAGGACCTGGCCGTGTTCCTGGACAAGCTGGTGAGGAGCTGCGTGCAATGAGCTCGGCAGTGCTCAGCGAGGCATCCCGGGACCCCTTCTCGCTTCCCTCCCGTGCTTCCCTGCTGGATCCAGTGCGGATGCCGCTCCAAAGCCGGAGCAGCTTCTGAGCACCCTGATGCCCCATTGCATCGTCCATAGACTTTGGGGTACCTCCCTAAGGCCTCTGRGTCACTAATTGGCTCTTCCCAATTACCTAGTGGGATTTTTTAAATTTTTTTGCCTTATTTTGTGTCGCTCTTGGACAAAATGAGGTAGGCATTTCCTACCGGGGGTAAATCTCTCCTTTTGGTGCCTTTCGGGACGTGGCTCTGCGGCTTTGGAGCCCTCGGTGGCCACGAGGAGCATCTCGGTGGCCCGGGATGCAGCGCCCGGGGTGCTGGCCCCAGTTTGGGCCGTGTCTCGGGGTGCAGGGCGCCCTCCGTGCACCGTAACCGTGCCGGGCGTGCGGCGGGCGCGCGGGGCGTCCCCGTCACCCCCGTGCTCCCCGCAGGGCATCGCGCAGGCCGTGCTCGTGGGCCATGACTGGGGCGGTGCTGTCGTGTGGAACATGGCCCTGTTCTACCCCGAGAGAGTGAGGTGGGTCCCGCGTCCCCCGTCCGCGTCCCCCATCCGTGTGCCCCATCCGCATCCATGTCCCCCATCCGCATCCCCCATCCCAGCCCGCCCAGGGTTGTCCCTCATCTACCTTAACTGGGAAGCACCCGTGGCCACCACTATGGGTGGACAATGTCCATGCTGGTGGCCATCGGAGCCAAGGACCCCCCAGGCTCCCTACGCCAGCACCCGATCCCGTTTTCGCGCCGTTTTGCCCCAAACGCCGCCTGTGCCGAGCTGAGCGCCCTCGTCCCCTTTGYGCCCTAGAGCCGTGGCCTCGCTGAACACCCCGTACCGGCCGGCGGACCCCGACGTGGACATCGTGGAGAGGATGAGCCGCGTGCCCGCCTTCGACTACCAGTTCTACTTCCAGGAGCCGGTGAGCCGGGAGGCGCGCCCGGAGCRCCGCTCGGGAGCGGGGATGGGGTGATGGTGGAGAGCGGGGTACACGGTCCGCCCGCCTCGCAGGGCGTCGCGGAGGCAGAGCTCGAGCGCGACGTCGGCCGCACCCTGAGGCTCCTGATCCGCTCGGCCAGCAAGGAGGTGGGTGCGGGATGCGCGCGGCAAGGGAAATSGCGCGCCGGCTGTTGCGGTGTCTGACCATTAGCGGCAAAAGTCTGTGTGCGCAAAGCCGTCAGTAGGGACCAGAGTGAACGCATCCCTTGGAGCAATGCAGGCCCCGCTCCTGGGACATTTGTCTGAGTGCAGATCCCTAAATCCTCAGGAAAAGGGTCCTGGTGGCCGAGAGCCGCGTCCTTTCCTGGCGGGAGGGTTTGTGGCAGGCTCGGAGCYGCGGCGGGACGTGGCCGCGGCGCCYGGRGACAYGCGTGGCCTCCCGTGGCCTCCCGTGGCCTCCCGTGGCCTCCCGCTGCCCCGGCGCCGTCACCACAAATCCCATCACTAACCTCCCGCCCGGGGCTGGAGGCCTCCGGAGGGGAAAGCAGCCGTGGCCGCAGCGCCGAAGGGCTCCGCGCTCCCGCTCGGCCGCTCCGCAGGGATCGTTCCTGCCCCTCGGCACGCGGGGATGCTCAGCCTGCGGCAGCCAGTCTTGCTGTGATGCCTCCCCTCTTGCTCCCATGGGTGATCCGTGTGCTCCATGGTGCCTCCCGTTGCTCCCATGGGTTATCCGTGTGCTCCTTGGCACCTCCCATTGATTATCCGTGTGCTCCGTGGTGCCTCCGCGTTGCTCTCATGGGTTATCCGTGTGCTCTGCGGTGCCTTCCGTGGGTTATCCGTGCGCTCTGTGATACCCTGCATTGTTCCTGTGTGTTATCCGTGTGCTCTGCGGCATCTCCCGTTGCTCCCAGGGGTTATCCATGTGCTCCGTGATGCCTCCCGTGGGTTATCCATGTGCTCCGTGGTGCCTCCAATCACTCCCATGGGTTATCTGTGCGCTCCATGGCACCTCCTGTTGCTCCCATGGGTTATCCATGTGCTCCGCGGTGCCTCCAATCACTCCTGTGGGTTATCCATGTGCTCCACGGTGCCTCCCGTTGCTCCCGTGGGTTGTCCATGCGCTCTGCGGTGCCTCCCATGGGTTATCCATGTGCTCTGTGGTGGCTCCCGTTGCTCCCATGGGTTATCCGTGTGCTCTGTGGTGCCTCCCGTTGCTCCCGTGGGTTGTCCATGTGCTCCGTGGTGCCTCCCATGGGTTATCCATGTGTTCCGTGGTGGCTCCCATTGCTCCCGTGGATTATCCCTGTGCGCCGCGTCATCTCCCGCTCGCTCCTGTGGGTTATCCATGTGCTCCGCGGTGCCTCCCGTGGGTTATCCATGTGCTCCAAGGTGCCTCCCGTTGTTCCCATGGGTTATCCATGTGCTCCGTGATGCCTCCCGTGGGTTATCCATGTGCTCCGTGGTGCCTCCAATCACTCCCATGGGTTATCTGTGCGCTCCATGGCACCTCCTGTTGCTCCCATGGGTTATCCGTGTGCTCTGCGGTGCCTTCCGTGGGTTATCCGTGCGCTCTGTGATACCCTGCATTGTTCCTGTGTGTTATCCGTGTGCTCTGCGGCATCTCCCGTTGCTCCCAGGGGTTATCCATGTGCTCCGCGGTGCCTCCAATCACTCCCGTGGATTATCCGTGTGCTCCGTGATGCCCCCCATTGCTCCCATGGGTTATCCGTGTGCTCCGCGGTGCCTCCCGTGGGTTATCCGTGCGCTCCGCGGCGCTCACGGCCGCGCCGCCTCTCCCGGCAGGACCGCCTGCCCTCGTCGCCCGGCTTCCACGGCGTCCGCGAGCGAGGTGAGGCCGCGGGGCGCCCGGCGCGCGCTGCCCCCCGCCGCCCGCCGCCCCATCCCGGCCCTCCCGTGTCCCGCTCCGTGCAGGGGGGCTGCTCGTGGGCTTCCCCGCGGACRCCCCCGCCAGCCGCATCCTCGCGGGCGCCGCGCTCCACTACTACGTGCAGCAGTTCACCAAGTCCGGCTTCAGGTGAGAGCCCAACCGAACCCCCCCGGACCCTGTGCCCCCCGTTCCCGGTGCGCCCCGCGGGGCCGCGCGCRCTCCGGGCGCTCCGCGCGCTCCATCTCCTCCCTCCGCCGCCCGCCCAGGGGACCGCTCAACTGGTACCGCAACATGCGCCGCAACTGGCGCTGGGCGCTCTTGGCCAAGGACAGGAAGGTGGGCGCCGCTCCGGAGCCTCCCCCATGGAATTCAGTAGATGGCAGGGTTGGGATGGGTCTGGGGTCTGTGGGAGGGATGCGGGTGTGAGGTCCCCATCCCAGGTGTTGGGAGATGGGATCCGCAGTGGCCTCCTCTGTGCCAGGTTGGGAATGAGGTGCCTTGTCCTCAAAGGAACCTCCATATGGGGGGAATTGGAGGCTGGATGGGGAGCGTGGGGGCCCAGGTCCCCATCCCAGGTGTTGGGAGATGGGATCCGCAGTGGCCTCCTYGGYGCCAGRTTGGGGATGAGGCGGCTTGTCCCCAAAGGAACCTCCATATGGGGGGAATTGGAGGCTGGATGGGGAGKGYRGAGGCCCCCAGGTGCCCCCAGGCACTCGGGGTGYCCCCTGCCTTCCTCTTCCTCGCGTGCCCCTCTCCCTCGGCCGCCCTGCAGATCTTGATGCCGGCGCTGATGGTGACGGCCGGCAAGGACCYGGTGCTGCGTCCGGCCATGGCGCAGGGCATGGAGGAGTGGGTGAGCGCCGCGTGCCACGGGGCCGTGCGGGACGCCCGGCACGGCCCGGGGTGACGCCGCGGTGCCCCGCAGATCCCGCACCTGAGCCGGGGACACATCGAGGAGTGCGGCCACTGGACGCAGATGGAGAGGTACGAGGGCAAGGCGGGCGCGGGGACGGGGTGCCCGAGGGTCCGACCCCTCTCCGGGCAGGTGCCAAAGGTGCCAAGGGGACGTGGGTGGAGCAGGGACCGTGTTGCGCTTCCCTGCAGGCCGGCGGAGCTCAACCGCATCCTGCTGGAGTGGCTGGAGAAGCTGCCCGAGAGCCCCGCGCCGCCCAYGCTCTGCCGGCTGTGACGGCCGCCGCTCGGGCTCCCGCGTTCCCGGGCAGCCGCGGGAAGCCGGGATGAGCAGCCGTGTTCCCGAGGAGCCGTGGGAAGCCGGGATGAGCCCCCGCGCGGGCCGGCCTTTGCGCGYTAATGATTGCACTTAACGCCGCCTTAGGAATCACGCGCTGCCTTGGAGCCCGCGGGGCAATAAAGGGGACCCGCAAAGGGACCCGCGYGGTGGCCGCGTCGTCTCTCGCCAACGGGGGGGGACGTCGCGGCTGGGGGCCACCTCCGTGGGTGACCCCAGCGTGGGCTCTGTTGTGCAGGGCGTCCCCTGGGCGCGCCTTAGAGAAGGGGATTCTCTGATGTCTCGTAGGAGGGCTGAGCTCTGCAGCAAGGGCCTCTCTGCTCTGCTCATGACCYCCAGAAATGTTCCACCTGGAAAGCAACCTCAGCCTGGGAGCTCCAGCTCTTTCCCAAAGCTTTCTTCCCTGGTGGCACCAGCAAATCTGGACCCGGGGCACTATGTGAAAGGTGAACACCTAAACCAGGCTGGCGCTTGGCCCGGGGTTATATCCAAGGAAGAGCTCAGCCGAGGCCAGCTGCCAACATCTGGGCTCAGCTCGCTGCAGTGGGGCAGCAGGACCTTTGCACCGCCCAAAGTCCACGGTCCAAGGCTTGCTTGGCAGCGCCCGGGCTCCCAGCGAAGGCAGCGTTTATTTCTAAGCCGAAACGATCTATGGCATCGCGGCTCTATAAATCCCAGCGTAAAGAACAAAACAAAAAAAAAAATTAATAGGGGGATGAGAAATCATTACATGTCCGCGGGGTAATGGCGAGTCAGCAGCTCGGAGCGGCCGCGCTCCGGGCGAGGCATCAATCCGTCCTGCGGCCCTGATTGCTTTCCTGATAGCGCCGGGAAGAATTGGCAGCGGCTTCCAAGCCGCTCGCTAATGCGTCTTTGCACGCCCAGCCCGGAGCGGGGAATAAAGCCCTCTCTGCGCCGTCCTTGGGGAAGGGAGCTGCAGGAAAAGAGCCCGGGGGAAGCTCCCTTGGGAAAGGGTGGAAAGGAGCTGGAAAGGATGGAAAYGGCCTCTGCGTTGGGCACAACCAAGGGTCCCTTTGCACCCCTGGCTCTGGGGCTGCCCCTGTTGCTGGTGCCTTTAACCCCTGTTTGCAGCTTTCCAGCTGGATGGGATGTGGGATGCMGGGGGGGATCCCGTATCCCGTGTTTTCCAAGGAGAAACCTGCCGCTCTCACAGCTGCAATGAGTTTTCCCAGCCTCAGCCCTCGCCTCCCCCTTCCTTTCTTCCCCTCCTGCCTCTTCTTCGGCCCTGTTTTGCAGGGGAAGCAATTAACTCTGCCCAGGGGAAGAAAGAGGAACATAATAAAAAGGAGGGAAAAAAAAAAAAGTGCTTGGAGATTGAGCGGCACGAAATAAAGAATGAAAGCCGCCTGTAATTAAATTTTGCCTATTTTATTTTTAAACGGAGAAGAAAGAAGGGGAAAAAAAAAAAAAAAAGGAAAGAAAAGGCCATCCGATTTCAGCTGCCGCTGCTGGGAATCGTTTCCCAGCACGGAGGCAGATCCTGCTGCTCTGCTCCCGCTCCGGGGAATCCACTGCAATGTGGGCTCCGCGTTCCAGCCTCAGGGATGCAGYTCCAGGGACGGCCCAGGGCTGCTGCCGGCCCTCTGGTTTCTTGGGATCACCAGGTTGCTGGAGCCAAGCACCTGCGTTCCCCTCTGGAGTTTGGAAAGGGCTTTTGCAATTTGGAGGTGGATTTCCCCTCTGCAGTTTGCAAATGGATTTTGCAACGTGGAGCTGGATTTTGCAATGCGGGAACGCGTTGTAATCTGCAAAGGCATTGCACAAACTTGGGTGTGCGTGGCAATTCCTGCAGGCGTTGCAACCTGAAAAGGTGTCGACCGTTTGTAGGCCAGACACAGCAGTGGGGAGAGTAACTGCGAGAGCCAGAAATTCCTGCAGATTTCATGGAAATGGGCAATTGGAGAGACACCCGGAGGAGGATCTTGCTCCTACTGCACTGGAGATGTGGCTGATGCAACTGCTGCGGGTGGCTCAGCTGAGTGCAATGCTTCAATCACTCCACAAAGCACCTAAAACCTCCTTGGGAGCCTCATTAGGAAGGATCCTAGACCTGTTTCCATGGGAAGGGGTGGGAGCAGGCTGCTATTCCCATTCCCCCATCCCTTTGCCTGGTTTGTGGGGATTTCAGCCCTCCCCGCATCCCTTTGTGCTCATTAATGAGTAATCTGGGATGCTCTTTGCCCCTGGAGTGGGTGCAAAAGCTGTCACGAGAGAGTGGGGCTTTTTTTAGCCATTTTTGGTGACCTTTGGGCCTGTTTATGCAACGTGCCGCCCCAGGGCTCTTGTGAGGAGAGACGTGGAAGTGGCTGGACCTGATAAACTGCCCSCGTTGGCACCTTGCGGGGCTTGATGCCAGCTCGGGTTAATACTCGTTAATTTGCTGCAATGCACCCRGGAAAAGGGATAGGTTGGAGATGGGCTCTTGGATGGGGCCAGGCCGAGGAGTTTTGGAAGCAAAGGCAAAGTCTCGGGATGACTTTGCACGGGCTGGGCGCTTCCTGCAACGAGGAAACGATATTCCCGGTGCTCTGCATGGCCCATCCRTGGCTGCATTCCCATTGCAACGTGCTCAGGAGTCCTCGGAGGGCGAGGTGGCACCTCTGGGGATGCGGCATCCCCATCCGTGCCGCCCGGAGCTCCCGGGGGGTCACTTTGCTGCATTAGCCGGCTCAGCAGCGTCGTTATCATCGTCTCGTTAGGAGGGATTGGGAAAGGGGGGGTTCTTATCGCCCAGGCGCAGCCCTGCAGAGCTCTGTCCCTCCCTGCCCGTCCTTGGGCAGGGATGCGGAGAGCCCGTGGAGCCCCTTCGCCTGGCCGGGAGCTCCGGGATACGGGCGGCAGATTTGGTGTTTTGGTGAGATTTGGTAAATTTGGTGTTAATTACGGTGAAACGGGGCAAGGAGCCCTCAGCTCCCGCTTTGCAGGGGGTGACGGGATGCAGCGGGGCCGGGGACATGTCCAGATGTCCCGYGGATCCTCAATGCTCGGGTGCCAGCGCATCCCTGCATCCTGCGGTACCCAAACCCCAGGGGTGCCCAGTGTCCCCCYCTGAGGTGTCACCCCTTTCTAGGCCACCAGCTCCACGCAGGACACGGCCTTGCAGCGTCTGCAGCTTTCCCACGGGAAACAGCACCCAAGCCGGGTCCAGATCCCGGTTTTCCAGGCGGGAGCRAAGGGCGCAGCCCCTCTCCCCTGCTGCGAGGGCTGTTACTCATTACCCCTCGGGCGGCTCTTGGACCGGGGACCCGGAGCAGCCCTCGGAGCGTYGCCGCATCCCGACCCCGTCGCATCCCAAGGCCCGGCCCGGCACCGGCGGGATGGTGAGGAGCCGGAGTAGGGAATCGCGGGGTGGGAATTGCGGGGTGGGAAGCACCATCGCGGGGTTCTCCCGCACCCTCCCTGCACCTTTTACTCAATTGCAAGCAACGCTCTGCTGAGATTTAGGAAAAACAGAYGGGGAAAAGATCAGGAAAGCCAAAATATTCCTTTTTATCGTATATATATTTGTATTTAAGGTGGGGCTTGTGAGTGGCAGCGGTTTCTAACRAGGAGGACTTTCGGTCCTAGGGAAAAGCCGCTTCTCTCCTCAGTTTTTCCTTGCCTTTGTCCTTGCCCCTCCCCCGCGGTGCTGTCGGCGGGGGATAAACCGGTTTCGCCGCCTTTGCGGCGGGGTGAAAGGCTCGGGTTTAACCGTGCCCGGGGCGCGGAGGAGCGCGGGGGGCGGCGAGGCAGCTGCGACCTCCCCCCTGCCCCGGGGGGCTCCGAAAGCGCTCGGCGGGACGAGCCGCTAATTGCTCCTTGATGGCCCTGGAGGAGGGTCAGGGATGGGGCCGGCTCCTCACATCGTCCTGGGTTCCAGGGCGGGAGTCGGACCCTCATGGTGAGACCACCCGGGGACACCTCGGTTGAACCCTCCGTATCCATAAACACCAAATCCCTTTGGAAAGTTGGCTCTCCCAGAGATCACGGAGATCTCCATGGTCTCCAAGGATCGTGGGGTTGACAGGCTGTGCCCAAATCCAGGGCTCATGCTCCTCTGCTCCGGCTCTTGTTCTTCATCTAGGTTCACGGTCAAGGAGGAGTCAAGTTCCAGAACTGGGCCAAGACCTATGGATCCTCTCCGGAGCTGTACTTCCAGCCTACGTCGGTGGAGGAGATCCGGGAGGTAAGGAAGGTGGTTTYGGGAAGCAAAGAGAACCTGGAAATTAGTAAAAAGGAGAGGCCAGGATGGGCTGTGATGCTGCATCACATTCACTCATGATTGCACCATCCACTCAGTCCTGGGATTTAGTCTATCCTACCAATCTGCTTCCCAATGCATGCTCCAGCAGAAAGTGTCAAACATCCAAAAGACGCAGAAAATCAACATCCCAGAAATCTGGGCATCTCCAGGGAAATTCTCCTGGTCCCTGGGAAGCTTCATGCAAATGCTGTGTCGCTTCTCTCAGCCCTGGGGATGCCTCAGCCTCAGAGGGTTAAGCATGTGCAAAAGGAACCCAAGATCCCAATGTCTCAGTCCCTCTGGAAGCTCCTCTGGCTTTGAGAGGGCCATGGGACCCTGTGTTGTCTCTGCAGATCCTGGACATGGCCAGGCAGAGGAACAAGAGGGTGAAGGTGGTGGGCGGTGCCCACTCCCCRTCGGATATCGCGTGCACTGATGACTTCATGATCCAGATGGGGAAGATGAACAGGATCCTCAAGGTGAGACTTGGTGGCACCTTTGTCTGTAGTCAGCAAGGACTGGGAGTCATTGCACTGCCGTCATCATAGCTGTGGTGGGGTAAGAAGGGATGGAGGTTCCATGACCTGGGATGAGATGATGCCTACCTGGAGGGTCCTGGTTTTGCGTCACTGAGCATCCCACTGTGCTCAGCTTTTGCTCATGGGGATGGAAGTGCTTAGCCCCTATGAGCTGGCCTCGTGGAAGCATGATCTGCTGGGTGGAAAGGAGAAAATCCAGCAGGACAACCTTGCTCAGGATACTCTGGGCAATGCAACAGGGTTTGCTTGGTGCAGACATGCAAAAGAGCCTTGGGCACAGGGGCCTCGTGGAGCATTTCATATGGATGCTGGCGGGCTGTGATTTCCCACCATATAAGGTGGAAAGAGTGTCCCCACAGGAGGGAGGAGAATCACTCCAGTTTGCCACGCTTGAACATAGGAGTAGGAGAAAGCTCTTGCTGGTTGCACTCAGGAAAACATTGCATTGCATGATGATGCGCATCATCAAGGGGACCACGGATAGTGAGGACTGGGTTAAGGTTGGAGAGAAGGGTGGTAGCTCCTGATGGAGCAACAGACCCTGGTACCCAGCTCTCCTGGATAGACCTTATCTGCTGAGAAGATGCTCTACTGAGGTCTGCCAACTTCACCTCTCACCTGCATCCCTCCTCGCAGGTGGACAAGGAGAAGCAGCAAGTGACCGTGGAAGGTGGGATCTTCCTCTCGGATCTGAACGTTGAGCTGAGCAAGCACGGGCTGGCCCTGGCCAAGTGAGTGAGATGCGCGCTTGGGGCCCTGCCTTGGTATTCTCCTCCCTGTTGTTCATCACTGACTCACGTTATCTGCTGGGACTTGCCAACACAGCGCCATTCGGGGAGATTTTGCTGCGAAATAGAGGCTTTTCATTGGGAACTTGGTCTTTGGGATGCTTCTGCCTTGGGRATGAGGGAGCCTTTGTCCTCCTAGCGACCCCGGTGCCTTTCCTTTGTCACAAAGGAAAGCTCTGCTCTCAGCATCTCCAAAGAGATTAGCGCTGCCCTCCTCGATGCCAGCGCCTCTTTAATCTGGCAGCAAGAGCAGGCGGATGAAATCAGGCTAGAAATGAGCTCTTTAATGGCCAAGGGTAATTAGCCKCCGGAGCGGGCGCGTGGGAGCGTCTTAGCTCCGTGTCCTCGCTTCGGGACATCTCCGATCCCCGGGCAGAGCAATGAGCTGATGGGTCCCCATCGCRACCTGACCTCCTCGAACCCGTGGGGCTGGAATGATGATGTTGGAGTTGGGATGCTGGAGTTGGGATGCTCACCCGGCTCGCTCATCCGCCYGCAGTTTAGGTGCCGTTTCCGAGGTGGCAGCGGCCGGCGTCATCGGCACCGGGACGCACAACACGGGCATCCGACACGGCATCCTGCCCACCCAGGTAAGGCGGGTGCTTCCCGCTCGGGTCCGGGAATGAGGGTCTGTGCCTTGGCATCCAAGGTGGATGTCCCAAAGCTGAGGGATGGAGGGCCCATGTGGCATCACCAGGGCTTTATGGATGGAGGATCAGCCTGGTGCCACGTTGATGGCTGGATGAACTTCCATAGGGAGCAAAGGCTCGGAGTAACCTGGGTCTGCTGGTGTCTTGCAAAGACATTGAGATGTTCCTGGGGTTTTCCAACCAGTCGCATTTCCCTCTGAACACTTTGAGGCTGCCAGTTGCTCTTGACCAGTCATGCTTTGCTGCATACAAAGCCCTGGAGATGGCTTAGGAGGTACCTAGGACATAAATCCGGAGTGACTCCTAAGGAGCATGCAGGAGTGACTCCTAAGGAGCATACACTGCCCTACTTCACGCTCTGTACTCCTGTTGTCTGTTCCCATCTGTCTTTCTCTGTGTGAATGGGGAAGAGGAGGCCGTTCCCAGGTGGGATGAGCTCATGGGATTGACACCGTCCTCTCCCCACGGCAGGTGGTGGCACTGACGCTGCTGACGGCTTCGGGCGAGATGCTGGAGTGCTCCGAGTCGCTCAACGCAGACCTCTTCCAGGCTGTCCGCCTACACCTGGGCTGCCTGGGCGTCGTCATCACCGTCACCTTCCARTGTGTCCCCTTGTTCCACCTGCACGAGGTGACCTTCCCCTCCACCCTCACCGAGGTAYGGCTGTGGGACACGCTTTGGGAGCCTCCTGGGGGGGAGCAGAGTTCTCTGCGRGGTGAAAGGGGTCATGCTTTGGTAGGAAATGCCCCCAAAATGGGTAGGTTATGCATCATCATAGGGTCTTCCAGCTGGGATCACCCCCAGTGTCTTTCAGCTGGGAAATTCTCCAGGGTGGCAAAGCAGAGGACTTTGTTTCTTGGGAAAGGACCTTCTGGCCTCCTCCATGTTGGAAGAGCATCCACTGGGATGGCAGCCGTGCAGGGCAAGTGGCTGGTGAGGAGAAGTGTTTGCTGGGGCCACCTCCTTGCGCCGTGGGCACGTGGCGGGATGGGAGCAGCAGCAGGAGGTGCAGCTGTGACGTGCGAGTGCTCCMGAGGAGTTAGGGATTTGGGAGCACAGCCTGTGTGGTGCCGCTGGAACCTCAAAGGACGATGCCCAGAGGCATCACAGAGGCATCGTCTGGGCATCACAGGCTGCCCAGAGAGGTTGTGGAGTGTCCTTCTCTGGAGACCTCTAAAACCCGCCTGGATGCAGCCCTGTGCCATGTGCTCTAGGTGACCCTGTGTGTGAAACACCTCCTCCGTGGCCCTGGGATGGGGCAGGGAGGGAGATCTGCAAGGAAACACGCAGACAAAGTGGTTTTCTTGATTTGATTGGTCTTTTCTGAGAGCCACAAGGCCACAGTGCCTGGGTCCCCTTCTCCATCTCCCTGTCATGGACAGCCTCATCTCTCCTGGAGCATCCTGTGCTCTTGAGGATGACTTGGTCCCACTCGGTGAGTGAGGCTGCTTAATGCAGGGTGTTAGTGACCAGCTGGATCTGGGGCATCTCCAAGGGATGTGGCTTCCCGAGGACGGTTTCTGACCGTGTCTTTCATAGATCAGGACCTTTCATTGCATCCCTTGGATCCTCTGCCTAAAACTAGGTCATGGCCAACTGGCTGTGCACACATCCAGGAGCCTGGAGCTAGGTTTCCGGATGGGGAAACTGAGGTATGGAGTCCAGCAGGAGGAAGAAATTGGTGGCAATGACAGACAGACTGTTCTGGTGTCCAGATCTGCTGCCAACCACGTTTCAACCATCTTGAAACGTCTTCCTGAGAGCTCCAACATCTCTTGTGGTGGCATCTGATATCTCAGGGTTGGTCAGTGCTCCAACTGTAGCAAAACTCCGAGAAACGCTGTCATTATTATTATTATTAAGGATGAATTATTYGGTGAAGCTTTGGGATGCCATAAACACCATGCAGATATGTGAACTCAATGCTTGCTTTTGCAATATTGTTGTGATCTCCAAAGAGATCCAAACCAACCCAGGGATCTCTGTGGACAGCTGGGCTGCCCTAGAAGACGGACGAAGGTCTGGGCACGATGCCTGGTCCTGTTAATGTGTCTCTCCCCGCCTGTTGGCACCTTTGAGCTCTACCAGGCCTGTTGCACCACAAGGTCTTATTTTTCCCATGGTGGTGGGAAGGGCGGATGCAGCAAACCCAGCAGAACATTTCTCTCCCAGCTTGAAGTGAGTTGCAGAGGTCGGCTCATGAGAGGTCTTCTGCTCAGGTGAGGGTTTTCTCCTTGCACGTGGACTTTCCCATGTGCACTGGGGTCCCACCGGCCACGTCCTCATCACAGAATCACAGAATGGTTGAGGTTGGAAGGGACCTCTAGAGATCATCTAGTCCAACCTTCCTGCTCCGGCAGGGACACCCAGAGCATGKGGCACAGGGCGGCATCCAGGTGGGTTTTGGAGACCTCCAGAGAAGGAGACTCCAYAACCTCCCTGGGCAGCCTGTGCCAGRGCTGTGGCACCCTCACAGTGAAGAAGTTCCTCCTCACMTGGAGATGGAACCTCCTGTGTTTCAGCTTGTACYCATTACCCCTTGTCCTGTCACTGGCCACCAATGAGAAGAGCAATGCCCATGATGCTGACGCCCCCAAGGCCATGGGCCCAGCCACCCAACTCATCCCAACCCGGGTGCATCTTCACCACCTCCTCCAGCATCTCTCCGTGGCCGGATCGTTTCCCTGCTTGCTTCCTCTGTGCCCACRAGGGACGTGCCACCCCTCGGGAGCGTTAGCAGCACGCAATGGGAATGCGCTCCATGAATATTCATGCCATTATCAATTCCTGGTGCCTGCCTCTCCTCGCCCCCTTCCCGATCTCCGGCTTTCATGTGCAGTGGCCCAGCGAGGCGGAACAGAATAACGGCAAGGAGCAGCTCCCTTGAAATATTTAAGCCCGCGTTATCTAAGACGTTGCAAATAATAAATGCGTGAGGAGCCGGGCGCGGACGGGGGGTTATGTAAGATCTGCCTGCCTTCCTCCCCGGCCTCGTGACCGTCGGGAGCGGGAGAAAAGCCTCTGCTGTGCCAGCTGCTGCAAGGAGASCCGGGACCGAGCAGCTTTCGGAGGACGCGAGGAGCGCGCGCGCAGCCACCGGTGCAATCCCCACGTTTGCACCTCGGGGCCTTTGGGTGCTGGAGGCCGTTTCTATACCCGCGACGAGCCCGGGGGCTTCTCCTGCTCCGCGGCAGTGCGTCTGCCCGGGAGGCTGGGCGAGCTGGAGCGCCCGGCTGGAAGGTGACGGCTCCAGGGATCGCCCGGAGCAGGGCGCGCGGGGCTGCTGCCCGTACGGATGGTCCCCCACCGTTTTAGCCGCTTGGTGCCTTTGTTCCTAAGCCCAAGTGTCAAGAAACTCATGCTTATGTGTTGCCCTCTTCCTCCTGCTCAGTTCTTGGGTGTTTATTGCAGAGATGCCTTAAAAACAACTTTTTCTCCCCAGACCAGGCTGTTGGCAGGCAGGTTTTGGGGTGGCTTCGTGGCTCTTTGGGGGCTGCTCCTATTACCGCTCTTACACTAATCGCTTCCACCTCTGCTTTCCCCTTGCAGGAGCCGCCCGTCTCCGAGCTCTTTTCTGTGTCGCTTTGAATAATTTGGCACTTTTTTGCATTCCTCCCAAGAAGCCCGGGGCAGCTCGGGGCCGCCGGTGCTTTGGGCAGTGCGGGAAGGAAATGGGAGCTGMGCAGGGAAAAGCTCTCGGAGCTTCCTACCCAGCACCAGCCCCGCTCCCTCCTGGAGGGGGATACGTGGAGCAGAGGAGACCACAAGCGTGTCCTGTTGCCCCTGTCCCACCAGCTGGTCCATGGGTCTCCATTATCCCTTTCCCAGCRTGGATGGGATGCGTCGGTTCTCCCCCAATCCCAGGATGTCGGAGTTGCAGATGGTTTCTCAGCCCTGCTCCAGGTGCCTCCTTGGCCTCTCCAAGGGGCCATGCGTCAACCCGCTCTGTTTTCCTGGGCTTTCAGGTGCTCGATCATCTTGGCGACCACCTCAAGCGATCYGAATATTTCCGCTTCCTCTGGTTCCCGCACAGCGAGAACGTCAGCGTCATCTACCAGGACCCCACCAGCAAGGCAGGTGGCCGGGCACCACGGCAGAGCCGGCGCTTTGGGGGCACCAGGCAGGGCGAGGGGCTGCCTGGTCCCGCAAACAGCCCTTGGGGCTGGGCTGGAGCATCCCGGGGCTGAGCTTGGAGTGGATCCGTGGTGGGAGATCCCGGGGGGAGATGTGGTGCTGCTGGTGGCCAGACCTGCCTCTGGGCATCCCCGTTGCAAAGCTAGCCCAGCACGGCAAGGCCTGAGCCTTCCTGGGGCTGGACGTGGCCCCATCTCACCATGGGGTGAACCATGGGGTGCCCTTCTCCACCCCCTGCTCCCGCTGGAGCTGCTCCTGGTGCTCCCCTGTGACCGTCCCCTTCCTCTGCTTGCCTTCGCAGCCCCCCTCTTCCTCTGCCAGCTGGTTCTGGGATTATGCCGTGGGCTACTATTTGCTGGAGTTTCTGCTCTGGATCAGGTAGGATCTGGGCAGGGTTCCCTGGGCTCCCCGGCTCCCTTCTCTGCGCCCTGTAGCTCCCCGTGCTGCTTCCTCCCTCCAGTGCCCTAAAGAGGGGACAGGGGCACAGGGCAGGGGACGGGTCAGTGGTGGGGTGGAGGGCTCCGCTGGTGCCCTCCAGCGAGCTCCTCCTGCAGAAGGCGGCACGGGGACCATGCGTGGGATCGCAGTGCCCTCTCCTGCGCACGGAGCGGCAGCACCGCAGCTCGCAGGATGGAGCTCCAGGAGACGGAGCTGCTGCCCAGCGTGCCAAGGCGCAGAGCTCCGGAAAGGGGCCGCCCCGATGGGCATCTCCTGTGCCGCCGTGGTGGCCGGGACGTTGCACTGCCCATGGCAGCCCCGGAGCGCTGGGCTCCGGCCTCACCTCCCGCCCTCTYGCCCGCAGCACCTTCGTGCCCAGCCTGGTGTGCTGGATCAACCGCTTCTTCTTCTGGCTCCTCTTCCGCTCCCGCGTGGAGAACATCAACGTCAGCTACAAGATCTTCAACTATGAGTGTCGCTTCAAGCAGCACGTTCAGGACTGGGCCATTCCCATGTAAATCCCGTCCCCTGCGCTCCCTCCGTGTCCATCCCCTGTGTCCATCCCCTGCGCTCCCTCCGTGTCCATCCCCTGTGTCCATCCCCTGCGCTCCCTCCGTGTCCATCCCCTGCTACCCCACCATGTTCATCTCCCACCTCAGGATCATCAGCAAGGCCACCATCCGAAGCATCTGCAACCCAGCACAGGGGTTGTGTGCTCCTGGGTTAACACATCCAAACCCCATGGCAGCTTTTGGGGCCCTGCCATTCCCAAGAGATGGGAGGGAGGTGCTGGGAGCTACCAGTTCCACTGGAAAAGGGTTTGGAATGGAGGGCAAGGAGGGCTCCAGCCCCTCCAGAGCTGTCCATGGCCGTTCAGATGTTAACCAGGGCTGTTTCTGGGCAGCGAGAAGACCAAGGAGGCCCTGCTGGAGCTGAAGGCCGCCCTGGAGAACAACCCCAAGATGGTGGCTCACTACCCCGTGGAGGTGCGCTTTGCGCGGGGCGACGAGATCTGGCTCAGCCCCTGCTTCCACCGGGACAGCTGCTATGTGAACATCATCATGTACAGGTGAGCCCACCACTCTCCTGCCCTTGATGAGCCCACCACTCTCCTSCCCTTGGTGTCGCACCCTGGGATCCCAAGGGAGAGCCCTTGATGGAGACACCTGGGACAGGTTCCCAATGTCCACCCTTGCTCCCCCAAGGAGGGATTATTCAGCGAGAAGTCTCCTGGGGGTGCAAAGGGCTCCAGCTCCTGCTCTCCTAGGCCCTACGGGAAGAACGTCCCCCGACTCAACTATTGGCTCACCTATGAGGGCATCATGAAGAAGCACGGAGGGAGACCACACTGGGCAAAGGTACCAGGGAGGTCCCTTCCTTGTCCCTCTCCAGGTTCCTCACCTAGAGGGGCTGCAGAGGGTCCAAGGAAGGATCTCGAGGAGGTGGCTGGTGGCATGGGAGGTGTCATCCCTTTGCCATCAGAGCCACGGGCAGCCCTTGCCGGGTTTCTCCCCCATAGGCCCACACGTGCACCCGGAAGGACTTTGAGACCATGTATCCGGCCTTCCCCAAGTTCTGCACCGTGCGGGAGAAGCTGGATCCCACGGGCATGTTCCTGAACGCCTACCTGGAGAAGGTGTTCTACTGACAGGGTGGGAATGGGCCCAGGAGCAGCTGGAGGAAAGAGCAGCCCCCTCAGCCCTGCTTCTTGGGACAGCGCAAAGCTCATGGTCCTCCAAGGCTTGGATATGTCCCCGTTGTGGCCCTTTGAGCCCCACACCACCCCACATGCTCCTGTCCAAGCTGAAGCCTCAATAAAGATCTTTTCCCTGAGCAAAGCTGAGMTGAATGCGTGTGTTAGAGGGAGCACCGGAGAAGAGCGCCCAATATCCCAGCACAGCCCCTGGGATGGAGTCACGGATAGGGATGGAGGCTGGTCCCATTGCACAGCCCTGGTGCCCCCTGGTTCCCCAGAGGCTGGAGGCTGGGCTGGACTCACCTTGCAGAGGAGCAGGGAGGGATCTGGAGGGAGGATTTGAGGGAGGAGGCTCAGCAGGGATGGGCTTTGCAGTCCAGGAGATGTCCTGCAGTGGGTGGCCCTGGAGCCCTTGCAAGGCAGGTTGTGAGCCAGGAGCTCAAAGGAGTTAATTTCCTCCCATCCTGGGAGGAGCTGGGCTTGCTGGCCCTGCACTTAGTCTCACCATCAGCAGCCCTTGTCCTCATKGGGGGCTTCAACCTGCCAGATGTTAGTTGGAAATACAATAAGGCAGAGAGGAAACAGTSCAGGAGGTTCCTGGAGCGCGTGGAAGATGATTCCTATTGCAGCTGGTAAGTGAACCTATGAGAGGAAGAGCCTGGAGAAGAGGAGGGTGAGAGGGGAGCTGGTGAGCGTGTCCMAGGAGCCGAGGGGAGGATGGAGGGAGGAAGGTGCAAGCTCYKGTGGGTGGTGGCCRGKGRCAGGCCAAGGGGCAGTGGGTGCAGGKTGCAGCGCAGGCAGCTCCATGTGGCCGTGAGGAAGAACTTGTTTGGTGGGAGGGTGCCCGAGCCCTGGCCCAGGCTGCCCAGGGAGGCTGCGGAGGCTCCTGCTCTGCAGATCTGCCAGCGCGCCGGGATGCGCCCGGGTGCCCCGTGCTCTGGGTGTCCCTGCTGGAGCAGGGGCTGCGCTGGGGGAGCCCTGGGGGTCCCTTCCAGCCTCAGCCAYCCTGGGATTCTGTAGTCCCCTCGTTCCTGTCACAGCATGCCTGGGATAGGGTTGGAATTGCCTTGAACCTTCACCATTTGGTCAGAGTTATTTCATGCTTGTTCTGACTCCACTTGCAGCGCAGGRCAGCTGCAGCATTCAAGACGTGCAGATGAGGCACTTAGGGCATAGTTTAACAGATAATGGTCTTGAAGGGTTTACAATTGGACTCAATGATCTTGAAGGTCTTTTCCAACCATAATGATTCAATGATCCTATGATTGCTACTCATGGGTGCTCCTGGAAGCCCATAGGAGAGACCCAGCTCAACACCTAGCTCCAAAGTCAAGTCAAAACGCCAGGGTCCAAGCCATGCCATGAGGTTGAGGGGGATTTCTGTCAAATTTGGTGTTTATTCTGATGTGGTGAGATAGCATCAGCAAGGAGGAGGACACCTGGGTGCATAGAGAAAAGAGGTCTTGGGAAAGCGCTTCGCCAGGCAAGACCTGAGCGAAGAGCAAGCCAAGAACAACCTTTAGTGGAAGGTAGGGCTTGGTGCTTGGGGTAGCAGGGAGGCTGGAGAAGGAAGAGGGTGAGGAGCGGCCGAGGAGCCTGCGCAGTGCTCCGCAGAGGGAGGAGCTGCCTGCTCTGACGGTGCTCTGCTGGCTTCTGCTTCACTGCCAGGAACCTGCACAGACCCCAAGGTAAGAAGCAGAAATCACTTCTCTTTGCTTTGCTTTTTTTCTTCAAAAATAAAAACCCTGTTTTTTAAGGTGACAATTACTCAAACTCCAACTCAAATTACTCAAACTCCAACAACGCTTTGCTTATGGAAAGTCTAGGGACAAAGACTGAGAAGATCTTTTCTTAGCCATTCATTCAGGGAGGTTTCCGAGGTCCCAAGTGGATCATGCCCAAATAAAGGAAAAATAGCTGCCTGCTTTTCTAATTTGCTTATTCTTGAAAATTAAGGATTTATTTTTCTAGCATGAATTAATTCTTATTCAGGTATCTTTGACAGGGTGCTAAAGCAAGGATGCTGCAGCAAAAAAACTTATGGATTTGTTGCTGCTTTCTTTTCTTTCTTTTTTACATCAGTAGGTGGCATACTCAGAAAGCAAAAAAAAAAAAAATTAGAAAAGAAAAAAAGAAAAAGCAGCATCCAGAAATCACTCATGTTTGCTTTAGAAACACACCCGGCTGGTGTCCATCAATTAATGGGCTCTGAAAAGAGACTGCTGCTCTTTTCAGCGAGAGATGGCTGAAGGTAAATGTCCTGGAGATGGATGACCTCCAGTCTGTCCTAATGGCTTGTYTGGTGCCGGTTTTGTCTCTTTGTGCAGAAGAATGTGGCTTTCCCCACTCTCCTTCCCCACACCCATCCTGGGCCTGGACCTGGATATCATTATGACTCTTCCTCCTCGACCACAGAGGCTGCCAAGATACGAGGACCACAAGCCTACCAGAAGATGCAGAACATCTTCAGAACATCAGCCAGCCTCTAAAGAGTGAGGTGGAAAAGGGAATGTTTGAGAAAGCGACGGAGGAAATGAAAAGCGAGTTCGAGGAACTGAAGGTAAGATATATCTTCCTTTTCTGCAGGGCTTTCTTTAAAGTATAAGATAGTGCTTTGGGTTAGAGGACAGCATCAAAGGACTGCCTCATGGTAAGGCTTATGGCCAAAGACCTTGGAAAATGCTGCTTGGGAAAGAGTCTGAGGGATATTTTGATTGCACCTGGGCTGTATTTCATGCACAAGGCCAGGGAAAGGACTTGGGATGGATCTGAAGCGTGATTGTTGCGTTTATTAACATGGTTGATCTGCAACAGCTGCCCACCAAGTGAAATATTTAGCTCTTCCCATTGCGAAGCCATCAACCAGCTCTGCAAAATGCCCTCTCCTTCATGCACAGCCCAACAAGCAACAACAAACAGTCCATGTAGACATGGTCCAGAGGGAGGGTGGGGACAGGATGGCACCAGCCGTGTCTGTAAGCGCCAAGGATAACTCAAGCTGCCCAGTCTATGGGTTGGCAACGTGCTTGCTTCAGGGCAAATAACACCTGCACATCTCGGCTTACCACTGAAGATAGCCAAGCTTGTTCYCCAACAGCAGATGGGAGGTCTGTGCCCTATCTCTATGGCATGGGCAAGGTGGTGAGATATCTAACAGACCCATGTGGTGCCTGGCCTGTTCTCTTGAAGGTGCTCTTCTTTTTTTTTGCAGATTTACATGAGGAATTCCTCTCCATCTGTACCATATATGCAGAGCTGCAGTAGACTTCAAATGCCTCCAAAAAGTGTCCTCTCCTGCTGCCTAAGAGCGTCCTCTCCTATTCCCATGCATGTTCCTCTCCCAACTTGTACYTTGCTCTCTCCCTTTCCTCACCGTTGCTTCTTCCCCGGAGCATCCCATGGTGAGGCTTGTGCAATCCCCAAATGCTCTTCCCTTACAACCCACCGGGAGACCCAGAGGGAGGAGATGGGTCAGGGCCTCCATGTCTCGGATGGGCACTTGGGGCTCCCCTGCTTGCTGCTGCTGTGTCTCTGTGCTGAGTTTCCCTGACAGCCTTATATCTCTTTTATACCTTAGAATGTAATGATAGAGGGAGGGAGGGAGGGAGGGAGGGAGGGAGGGAGGAAGGAAGGAAAGGGGGAGAAGGAAGGAAGGAAGGAAAGGGGGAGAAGGAAGGAAGGAAGGAAAGGGGGAGAAGGAAGGAAGGAAGGAAGGAAAGGGGGAGAAGGAAGGAAGGAAAGGGGGAGAAGGAAGGAAGGAAGGAAGGGGGAGAAGGAAGGAAGGAAGGAAAGAAAGAGTTCAGAATAAACTTGCTACTATTGCACTTGTTCTTGTGGAAATCATGCTTGCGTAGACCTGGCCCCCAAGAGCTTTACCTCTGTGAAAAGAAGCGATGGAGAGTAACAATGCAAGAAGAKGGGTCCTCAGGGCACTCTCTTATCCCAGGGCTTGGGAGATGGCCCGCAAGAAGTGGCCATGGGTGATGAGCCCAAATAAGTCTTCTTCTGCACTTAAATGGGCTACAGAGAGGTCAGAGCCATCCTCTCCTCGAAGGCATGCAGAGGAAGCCTGCAAGCGCTGGGGAAAAGCTCCAACTTGAAATGCTACCTAGACACAAGAAACGAAAAAGATCTTTCCCTTGAGGGTGGTGCAGGTGGTGCAGCCCCTGCACCAGCCTCGTGGCCCTCCTTTGGACACGCTCCAGCACCTCCACGTCCTTCTTGTGGTGAGGGGCTCGGGTTTGGAGGTGCGGCCTCCCCAGGGCCGAGCACGGGGGGTCGATGCCTTCCCCGCTCCTGCTGGCCACACTCTTCCTGATACCGGCCACGAGGCACTGGCCCTCCTGGCCCCCTGGGCACGCTGCTGGCTGCTGTTTGGCCGGCTGTTGACCAGCACCCCCAGAGCCTTCTCTGCTGTGCCGCTCTCCAGCCACTCTGCCCCAGAGCTGTAGTGCTGCATGGGGCTGTTGTGACCGAAGTGCAGGACCGGGCCCTTGGCCTTGTTGGACCCCCTGCAAGTGGCCTCCAGCCATTGATCCAGCCTGTCCAGATCCCTCTCAGGAGCCTTCCTCCCCTCAAGCAGATCAGCTCATCTTCCCAGCTTGGCGTCCTCTGCAAGTTTGCTGAAGGGGCACTCGATCCCCTCACCCAGATCACCCATAAAGATATTAAAGAGGACGGGCCCCAACACTGACCCTTGGGCAACACCGCTCGTGAGCGGTCACCAGGTGGATTCAACTCCATTCACCACCAGGTTCTYGGCCTGCCCTTCCAGACAGCTCCTCATCCAGCAAAGAGGCCCCCAGTCTAAGCCATGAGCTGACAGCTTCTCCAGGAGAAGGCGGTGGGAGACGGTGTCAAGGGCCTCACTGCAGTCCCCGTAGAGCAGGTCTACAGCCTTTCCCCCATCCACTAGGCAAGYCAGCTGCCCATAGAAGGAGCTTGGGTGGGGAGGAAGGACCTGCCTTTCATGGCCCCATCTTGGCTGGGCCTGACACAGGCTGGGGACCGACCTTCTGGAGAGCAGCTCTGCAGAGAAGGACCTGGGCCTCATGGTGGACAACAAGTTGACCATGAGGCAGCAGTGTCCTCATRGCCAAGAAGGCCAATGAGATCCTGGGGTGCATCAAGAAGA